CTAAAGTAAGAACAATAGCAACACAGGTAGCCCATTAGGACTAAAGTAAGAACAATAGCAACACAGGTAGCCCATTAGGACTAAAGTAAGAACAATAGCAACACAGGTAGCCCATTAGGACTAAAGTAAGAACAATAGCAACACAGGTAGCCCATTAGGACTAAAGTAAGAACAATAGCAACACAGGTAGCCCATTAGGACTAAAGTAAGAACAATAGCAACACAGGTAGCTCATTAGGACTAAAGCCAGAACAATATAACACAGGTAGCCAATGAGTAGTATTTGACCTGTCCAATAAAATAACAAAAAAAACCTTTAGCTATTGTATTGTTCATGTGTGTTTTTCTTTAGGTTGAAGTCAGTTGGATTCATGTACCATTAACCTTGATGCTGCTGGTTGTTGTAACATGTTTATTGTACCCAATCTCAGTCTTGTTTGCTGTGCTGCTTGTCTTGGTGCATGTCACTGTTACCATAGTATGTCCTCTATGGTTTGTACAACTACAAAGCCTCAAAAAGTAAGTCAAWTAATGAGAGTTTTTGCAGGTGATAAATATTATATCAGATGATATCAGGTGATAAATATTATATTATGAGATGATATATAAAACAATAATTGCTTTTTTTCTCACCATGATAGTTAATAACTGAATTTCTTTCAACCATATTAGCTTCTACTCTACCAGAGCTAACCTGATATTTTAATTGCTAACACAATCACAATCAAACAGTCTGTCTTCGTTATGATGGTAACCAGAGCTCTGGATGGTAACGGTTGAACCCTAATGAATTAATCACTGAGAATAMGATGGACAAGGAAGGTGAAGAAATCCTGAAAAATAGCTTTGGAGAGAGTAGAAAATCATTTCTGCTTCATTCAACGCTCCTCTCTATCTCTACTCATTTCACTTGTGAGTAGGGTTTCGAAGACTTTACAAGATTTTGGAGTGTTTTGGTGCAACACAAGTTCTCGATTCACCATTGTGTACACCCAATTATAAAATGTGCTCGGGTTCCAATTGTTTACATCACCAAAAACTAAGACTGAAAGGGATCTTGGGAAGGTACATTTTACTTCCCCTTTTTTTTTTTAGTTTTTTTTAACACTTAAAGGATGTTGTTTTTTGTTCATATTATTTTCCGTAGTAATATACATGGACCTTGGGATGAAGCTATTATCCAAGACTAGACAAGGTTGTTACCAGGACCTACCTTCAAACTAAAGGAGAAAGGAACCTGGAAACTTTTAACCATCAATCTCACCAGTTGTAGTCCAAGCTCTGCCAAAATGGCTTCAAACATCAGCTAGTACATCATGCTGGCCATTTATGTAGACTACCAAATGAACTAATTGTCTTTTAACTGTCATGGATGACAGTCGCCTGCAAATGTAGAACAYTTCCAGGGTACATGGACACTTCCAAAAATATTGCAGGCACAGGCAGACTTCTTCTTTGGTTGTGGGGAGGGAAAATTAAAAAAACGGCTTAAAAAAAACCCGCTTTAGTAATAATTTAAGATGATATAAGCGACTATATTTCTGTTAAAAAAAGGAGGAAAAAGAAACATTGTTATTTCAGGCTAGGCTCGAACCCACGATTCGTATTTCGACACCGTGAGATAATTGAAAGAATTGATCCTGGGTGGCCTGTGTTTATTGTTTAATGTTTTTCAAAAGCTTTACCATTAAAACTAAAAAGGATTAGTTATTTTTTTACTACTTTGACGCTATTATAAAGTATCTACAAGGGGTATCAGGCACTACGGTGCCAGGGGGGGGGGGGGGGGGTGGCCGCCATTTTCAAA